TAGAGGGTGCGGGGAGGGCTCATAACCAAGGCATAAACGACAAACGACACGTAAACGACATAACCAACACGTAAACGACATAACCAACACGTAAACGACATAACCAACACGTAAACGATATAACCAACACGTAAACGACATAACCAACACGTAAACGATATAACCAACATATAACCACCACATAAACGACATAAGCGACACACAACCACAACTCACCCGTCCTGCAGGCTGTCCTCATCCCCATCGTCGTCGTCGTCCCTGTCCACCAGGTGGCCGTAGGGCTCGGAGGAAAGGGAGACCACGCTGTTGAGAACCACGCGACTGTCGCTGCTAGAGGTCAGCACCAGCTGGTCGTGGAAGTGGTTGTAACAGACAGACCATACCCTGATGACACACAGAGAGGGGGAGTTAGAGAGAGAGAGAGAGAGAGAGAGAGAGAGAGAGAGAGAGAGAGAGAAAGAGAGAGTCGTGGAAGTGGTTGTAGCAGACCGACCACACCCTGACGACACAAACAGGGGAACGGTGAATGTGTTTTACATCCGCATCCAGCCATCCACACATTTTAAACCACAGTGTGTCAACCATTTTACAGCCAGTGCCACACTCACTACCCTCCCCCCTCAACCCACCCCCCAAACCAGGCCCAGGAAAAGATGAATAGAGAAGTCGGAGAAACATGAGCTAAAAAACACTATGTTTTCAGTTTTAGTAGAGGTTTTATGGCGCTCGCAACTACATAGGGTCATATGAGCGCAAAGGGGTGGGTGTCAACAGAGAAGCCCAAACAGGGAATCAGACTTACTCTGCTCACCTCTCTAGCCTCAACAGCACAAAGTCTGCTTTGACTATCAAGGCACCCCGGAAATAGCAGTTCACAAGAGAGTGATAAACATACAAAAGAAGTAGAGGGAAAATGACGACAGTAAGGATGAGGAAGGAAAAAGCAGCAGTTCCCCCTATGTTGTTCCGGCACAGTAAGAGCATTGCGCGCTCATATAACCGTGTGCAGTTGTGAGCGCCGTAAAACCCCACACTAAACTAACAAAACAGTATGAGGATGACATTGATAAATCAGCCCATTTCCACCAGCCCATCTGCGACACAAGCGACAAACCCTCACCAGTGCGAGTGCTCCGACAGAACCTTCAGGGGCTCCGTGACTTTGCGCGTGTCCCAGAATTTGACGCGGCAATCGTCGCCACACGTGACCAGGTAGTACTGTTTGTTGGGGTTGAAGTCAAGGTCTCGCACCAGCTGGCTGTGAGCCGACTCGATGTGGAACACTTGGCTGGAACCCCAGGAAAAAAATCGGAGGAGGATACAATGAAGTAGACGATGGACCAAGCAAAGTCTGTTTATTTGAGCAAGAGCAAAAGAAGCACATCTACACAAAAACAATCATTTGCGAGGAATGGTGGAAGAAACAGGCACTCGTCTAAATAATCAAAGCAAACAAGGAACAGACATTTTTCTGCCAGTTTGTCAAATTTTATAGAATTTTTATATTTTGGATCAACACCTTTTGTGTCCATTTAAAAACACGTTTCCATCTCAATTTTGCTAAAAAATGTCGATTAAAGGCATAAAATATGTAATTTTTCAGTTTTCAAGGACTCTAAAGTAATTGAAATTACCAAACTTTGGCAGCCATTTTCTCGCTAGTTTTACTACTGAAACCAGGTGACTCCACCTCCTTCAATCGCAAATATCTCAACTTCTATTCAAGATAGAAGGGTATTATTTTCATTGAAGGCAAGGCAAATGGACAGGCTTTAAGATGATACCAATAACTCCATAAGCCCCAAAGTTGACAAAAGCCTGATTCCATCGTGTTGTGACACATATGGGGTGTGGGGTTGGGAGAATGGAGGGGGTGGGGGGTAGGGGTATGAAGGGGGAAATGAAGGGAACAAGCCGTTGACAGAAGTCTTCCATGATCGGCCGTGGAAGGATAGAGACGCCAAACTGTACCATATAGGGGAGACAACAAGTAAATAGACTGCAGTAGGTTCTGGTGACGGATATTTCTTTTGCTTCATAGGATCGAGAGGACATTCTCCTCTCTCTTCTCTCTACCATTTAGCGGCTAGAGCTGTGTGCACACGGGGAGCAGGCGCTGGAAAAATGACCTACATTATTATTATCATCATTATTATTATTAATCTTATTATCACTCTTTATTCCCTAAACTTCACAAAGTTCACAACAGAACAACCATTGTGCTTTCATTCCCATTTCTCCACTCCCCCCCCCCCCCATCCCCTCCCAAAAAAAGGATAAAGTAAACAAAAGAAACATAAACGACAAAGAAACAACAGCACAAAGTATGGGTCAAAGCTGCCCGCCCCTAACTGACCAAAACCATGTCAATGGAGACATAAAAACATCTACAGTTCCAAATCTACGATGATAACCTCTCCGACCTCATAGTGCGCAGGTCCCATCCTTTGACCGACGTGTCGTTGGCGGTGGCGATCTGGTGACAGTTGTGGTGCGGGTTCCACTTGCCAGAGGTCAGTCTCGGGTGACCTCGACCTTCAATACTGGTGCTGCTCACCACCTGATGGAGAAGTGACATCGGTAAACGCTGTCGCAAAATATCTCCACCATACGTGTGTGCTCTAACATGATTTCCAGGTTTCTGCCTGGTGTCTATGTCAGATCATTCATGCATTTTTAAGCTTTGCCCAGTAGTTCAAGAGAGACAAAATTCTTTAATTCATTCAAATGTCAGCTAAAGTCATTTCTGTTTTCAAATAAATGAGATAAATATTTAGAGAGATTTTCTTTTGGTCAGAACACAATATACTGATTATATGTTACTGGTGTCTTGTAAAGCCCTCAGAGCCTGTGTACTTCAATCAGGGTTGAGAGCGAAATAAACGCCATATATTGTTATTATCATCATCATCATCATCATCAAGTGCCAGATCTACGACAGACATCGGTGACCATGGTTCTCCATTCATTCCTTTGTTCAGATGCTCTCAAAAAAGCTGTATCACCCCATGCGGCTATTCTATATGTTTTAAATCAATGTCAGATATATGTCAAATAGCTGGGACTTTTTGTCTTTAGATATATCCTGCAGACCCACTAAAATCAGGTCACCTTTTGACCTTGGACTTATAGCAGAGACAACAATCAGAGAAAATCACAAACAAAACTTACCAAAAAGAAGAATCTTGACACTAAACATTCTCTGACAGGCTTGAAAATCTTTGCTAAGCCCACTCAGTTAGTCTTAGTAAGCAGAGATTAACGGCACTTGCAACACAATAAGGTCATAGAAGTGCATAAGATCCGGGACACACAACCTTAGAACATCAGACATATAACAATGAACAAAATCCCATCAAGTGGGACTGGGTTTGGAGTAGCGTTGCAGTGTATGTGATAAGGTTCTCAATTCTCGATTGGCAAAACCGGGAAAGTACCGGAAAATCCCGGCTAGTTGGCCGGGCCAGTTGACAACTCTGCTGTAAGTTCCTCTGGACCAGTTCCAAAAGACTGACACTTTAATCAGAACAAAGAAAAAAAAATCAGACAAGCAAAATCCCCAGAGAGACAACCAAACACTGGTAGATTTGCTCAAAGTTCCCGGTAAAAGTTGACCTACTTTAGCGGCCGATGAGGCGGTGTCAACGTCCCAGGTGACTATCCTGTCCTGACAGAGGCCGACCACCGGCTGACTGTCTCCCGACGGGTGCCACAGCACACTGGGGACAAACAAAAACATACAGAGAAACATTCAACTTTTTTGTAAATGTTGGTGTTTTTACACCCTAATCAACACAATTTAGATAAGATAAGATAAGATAGGACAAGACAAGACAAGAAAAGACAGGATAAGACAAGACAAGACAAGACAGGACAGGATAAGGCAAGACAAGACAAGACAAGACAGGACAGGATAAGACAAGACAAGACAAGACAGGACAAGACAAGACAAGACAAGACAAGACAAGACAAGACAAGACAAGACAGGATAAGACAAGACAAGACAAGACAAGACAGGACAGGATAAGACAAGACAAGACAAGACAAGACAAGACAAGATAAGATAAGATAATACTTTATTATCCAAGAGGGAAATTTTTCTTGGCTGTAAAAACACATGCAGGTATACATAAAAAATGTAAATTATACATTACTCTTGTTAAAATTCAACATGAAAAGAGAGGTAAAGCTGACAAAATGAACATATCACATCAGATGCATCATTCAAAAAACATAAAGGAGTTTAATTACAAGACCTTTGGAGTTATATAGGTACATACTCTAAAGAGCGACACACATCTATGCTCATTCTGACAATAGCCTTATGCTAGATGGTAAAAAACTTCTTTTATATCTTTCTTTCTTTGTTTTTGGAGGTACATATCTGCCGCTGCGTGATCTTACAATGAAGGAGGCAGGCTTCCAACTTTGCCAGTCAAGGCCAATCCAGGCTGAGAGTGAGGGATTCAACATCCCAGCAGAAAGATCAAGATACTCGATAAAAATTCTCCCCAATCGGGAATTGAACTCAAGTCTCCGGTGTGCCACAGCCAGGTGTCTAACCACTGTACCACAGAGGCCGGTCTCCTCAAGAGTAAGAACCTTCATCCTTGTATTTTAGTGTTTTACAGCACTTGCAATACAGTATGTGCCAAAGCTTAGAGGTATTACAAGAGAGTAGCAAACAAAAAAGAAGGAGAGATAAGGAGAATAGACGTTTGATAGGACAGAAGGAGCAAATCACACCAGAGTACCACCAACCACCCACCAAATCTTTATCCAATATAATAAGCACAATACAAAAACACAATATGAATTCAGCAACAATGCTATATTCAATCAACTAACATGACATTAGCTCTTCTTTTAAGACAAAAACAAATTTTTTAATCTGCACCCTACATACAGTGCAGCCTGTCTATAACGACCTTCAATATAACGACATCCTCTGAATAGCGACATGGTGCTCAAGTCCCGATGTTGTCCTTCTATATCATCAGTAACTTTTGGTTCCCTCTCTATAACGACATTTTTTTCTGGTCCCGACGGTGTCGTTATAGAGGGGCTGCACTGTACTAATCAAACAGCTTAGTCAGTTCCTCAGTAAGGCAGTGGTGACACGGTATTCACACGGCGGATATTGCTAGACACTGACCTCTTCACGTCTGCGTGCTCCTCCGTGTCGAGATAACACAGGAGACCCAGGTGTGGGTGAGCGCTGGAGTTGTCTTCTCCTGCAGGACTGGGGGGATTCGAACCTCCAGGCAGCTGCCACAAAGCTCCTTTCAGTTCCGACCTGTTGTCTGAGGCTGAAACATACGAGGGAGTACGTTGCATTCATTTACACTGATAGAAACTGGAAGTACGTTGTATTCATTTACACTGATAGATACTGGGAGTACGTTGTATTCATTTACACTGATAGATGCTGGGAGTACGTTGTATTCATTTACACTGATAGATGCTGCGAGTACGTTGTATTCATTTACACTGATAGATACTGCGAGTACGTTGTATTCATTTACGCTGATAGATGCTGCGAGTACGTTGTATTCATTTACACTGATAGATACTGGGAGTACGTTGTATTCATTTACACTGATAGATACTTTTACTTTTCCGATCCAGCGGCCATCTGGGTTCTAGCCCGTCGGCCTGACACTGACAGTCTGATAGATAAAACATCTTTAGTTTCACAGCACGATGAAAAGGAACTTAGAAAGTTTTAATCTAAACTTGTTTTATTTAAAATCTATGTGGGTTTTTTTCAGTCTGTGTATTATTTTGAATGTATGCGGTTGGTGCTTATATAATGTGCTCATTTTTTTACATTATGTTATAACTGTGTGTTTAAGAAATTCGTTCATTTTAATCTGTCAATTTTCAACATAGTTTGGGTTTTTATACTGCATGTGTTAATACAGTTAATTATACCCTTATAAATTCTTTATAATTTTTCTTTTGAAATATGTGTATTATTTTCAATCTGTATGCATTTGTTTGGTTTAGGATTTCTTGCACTTTCAAAATCAGAGTATCTTTTACACCCTGTGTGTTTTTCCCATCTGTGTATTTACGATCAGAGCCGTTTCTTTTACAATTAGAGCCTTTTCTAAACCAAGAAAAAAAGTTCATCTCAGTAAAAACTGTTTTCCAACCAGTAAAAGAAAAAAAAAATGCAACATAATAGATCACTGATGAGAAACCATGTATGATTAACTAAGATGTGCACAGCAATGATGACACAACACAGCAGCAAGTTCAAACAGCAGCAGTCAGTTTGCCACAGTGGGGCATCCCGTCCTCAATACAAGGTTAACTCTTTAAACCCGGAGTTTTTTCCACCATTTCCTGGAGTTTTTTCTACCGTCACCTAAACCTGGTGCAGTATGTCTCATTATAACCTCAAAAGCGCCTCCAACTTCTAAATAGCATAAACAAAGGTTTAGTCATTACTAAAAAAACTTGGTTCGAGAATAGTTCCGCAAAACAAGCAAAAACTAGCACTAAATAAAACAAAACAGTTGTCCCGGGTACTGGACACTCACAGCGTCCGTTGGGGAACAGGGTTATTACCGCCGGACGCGCCCAGTGTCCAATGGGGTTTAAAGAGTTACCACTTTGCCGCCTCATCTCGCCAATCGGCCATGTTTACCGCCCAGTTTCTTTGGATTTTCCCCAAAATGCCTTTGCTTTGATGGCAAGAGTTTTTACTATATCGCGACCTCAGTGCTTTCTTGTCCTATCTCCATTTTTAATAAGAGTGAAAACAGTTCATAACATAGAGTGAGCTTAAGAAAAAGTTACATTCTCAATGTTAAAAAAAAAGGAGATAGGGCAAGAAAGCACTGAGGTCACGATATATATGAGCCTTGTTGTAATGATATGGGACATAATCCATTATCCACCACAGTTGCTTGTCCATTATATTACCAGTTGTTTCCCTTTCAGTGTAAACACTCCATGAGCAGTTTTCACATTGTCTTGAGATTCAGGGCTTCTGGGAACAAAGGGTCTGGGGTCTATATAAAGCTGTATCTGTGTCTGTACGTTTTTTTCTTTCGACCATTTGACTGATGAAGGAAACCCTGCTACAAGGAAAAGGGTTAAACAGCAGAAGTCAGTTTGCCGCAGTGGAGCACCCAGTCTTTGATGCAGGGTTAACAGATGAAAGAACCTGCACCAAGAAAGACCGCTTCTCCTTCTTTCACTTTCCCTACCCTCATGACAACTGAGGCTTCCCAGGAAACACGCACAGCTTGTCAGCGGCAAAAACAGTAACACCTCACTACTTTTTTCTCATAGTAATTTTTACACATATACATAGATATTATATATATATATATATATATATATATATATATATATATATATATATATATATAATACTGTGTTTTAAGCACATGCAAGTCGATTAATTTTTAAGGTATGATGTCTTTTCTGATGTTATGCACATGAGCATTTTTTTGGAAAATGGAAATGCACAGTATTTATTCAATGTTATTTATTATTATTATTATTATTATTATTATTATTATTACTTGTAAAGTACACAGGACCGAACACTTCATTCAGAACTACTGATGTGGCATGAAACAAAAAAGCGCTGGGTACACAACGCACTCACTTTTGTTGTAGCATGTGGCGAAGAGAGAGGAGTCGAAGGTGGAGGCGCTGATGTTCCAGATCTCTCCCTCCCTGTGCAGGAACACCGTCTTGTTGATCAGGTTGTTCTCGTCATCAAAGTCGATGTAGTGGACCTGGAGGTGAAATCATTCTCTTAGTTAGTATGTTGAAGAATAAGAAAATAAAGACGAAATGTCCTGCATCTTGGTGATATCAAGAGCTCGTCAAAATAATGAAATTAAAAAAGTTAGTTTCCACGGACACAAAAGCTTTAAAAGTCACAGATTTTTGGCGGCCATTTATTCACTAATTTTACTTCTGACACCAAGCGACCTCCACCTACTGCAGTCACAAATACCTGGACTTGTTTTCATGATATGTATTTTTTTCATTAATAGCAAGACTCTAAGGTGATACCAGTGACTCTGTATGTCCAAAAATTGATGAGCACCTGATTCCACCGTGTCGTGACACAAATCAATTTTCACAAACAAATCTTCATCAACAAAACCCATGAGAAAAAAACAGACTGTGTAGACATCTGACAAACTCATCTCAATCAGATATTTTCCCGGAGTTTACCAAACAAGATGGTTTGATAAGATCTTTTGTCCAGCAACAAAACACGGCGATGATTACCTCAAACTATTATAATTGTAAAATACAAAAATTCACCTGATTTTCAGGCCCCAGCGACTGTGTCCCGACTAAGAAGCGAATGCTGTCGGTCTCCGCTGCCTGAGCACACAAAGAACGCGCCTGGGAAAATAATAACAAATATATAATAATGATAATAATAATAATAGTAATAATTGTCATAATAATAATAATAGAAATCTAATAACCAAATAATAATAATAATAATAATGTGACATTCATATATATATATATATAGCGCTGAACCCTGAAAGAACACAGGCTGTGTACTTTACAAATTAGCTTGAATACAATAGCAGCACAGAAACAATACATGAAGTCCGCCTAAAGTGAACACACTTTATTTGAACAATCGGTTAAAGTGAACGATATTCTGTGGTCCCGATTGAAATGCCTTTTGTTTAAGTAAAAAAAAAAGTGGAGAAAATGAACCGGTTTCATAGGGGAATTGGATGTTTAGTGAATGCCCAAAATGAGTGAAAGCGAAGAATGGACCGACCATGCCACTGTCGCCATGTTGTGAAAATAAAAATCTTTGCCTCGGGCATGGGCAGACAATCCCAGCACGGCGTTGGCGACGGCAATCAGAAAGAAAGAGCATAGTCTAGGCTCACCCGCTGTGTTGTCCCCCCCCCCTCCCCCTCACCATAGACCCACCACTGCGTGTAGCTGGCTACTGTTTCTTTCTAGGCCTCCACTCTACCACAATGGTTCAACTGAACCTTGGATAAAGTGAACACTTTCTTCTGGTCCCAAAGAGTTCACTTTAAGCAGACTTCACTGTAGTCACATGATTGTGTTCTGATTATAAATCTGCAACTACAGGTGTCTACAGTCTCAGTAACAGTAGTGCAGAATTCTTTCACGCACCAGCAGCTGAGATGTGGCAGCTGAGCGCTATACAGTCACACACAGGAGGCCTGACTTCTATCCCTGCATGGAGAGACATTTTTTATTGAGTATCTTGGTCTTTCTGCTGGGATCATGTATCCCTCTCAGCCCGGGTTGGTCTGGACTAGCAAGGTCCTAATAAACCCACCTCCTAAATGATCTAAACTGTGTCGATGAGGGTGTAGAAAAAACTAGATCTAGTAATTTAGGCTAACATTCAAACATATCATTATAAAAACAGACCTCACGCACAAATGTAGTGTGTATACATTTTGAAATATAATTTCATTTTCAGCGTGATTCAAACTTTTCTGGTCTCTTTTTAAAACCTTATCCGTACGTCGAGTTTTACTACACGTATCCTTGCGACGAGGGGAACTCTGAGCCACCACTTTCCAAAGAGGACATGTACTCGTGAATCCGATCCATACTTTTTTTTAAAAAAAAATAGTAGAGGGTTTTACTGCGCTCGCAACTGCATAAGGTCAAATGAGCGCCAAGGGGTGGGTGTCAACAGAGAAGGCTTTACAGGGAATCAGACTTATTCGACTATCAAGGCACCCCAAAATAGCTGGTCACAAGGGAGTGACAAAAGAAGTGAAGGAAAATGACAATAGTAAGGATCAGGAAAGAAAAAGCAGCAGTTCCCTGTTGTAGATCCGGCACAGTTATG